GATTTCTTCTCTTATTTTTCGTGTTTCTTTTCTCCTGCTTACTTTGGAGTTAATTTCCTTCCCTTTTCCTAGTTTCGAAAGTGGAAGCTTAGATTACTGATTTTAGATCTTCTTTTCTAATGTGTGAATTCTATGCCATACATTTCACGATAAGCACTGGTTTTGCTGCATTCCACAAACTTTGAGAAAACTGTATTTTTCCTTTCATCTGGTTCTATTAATATTTTAAACATTTCCCTGGTGCGTCATATTTATTGGGAAGAGTTTTTTTTCCATTAACCTTTATTTATTTTGGATTGTCTTGACACTTTTTGAGAATGAAAGCATACATAATGTGATATTTATTATTTTACATTTCAATGTGTATTTTATGGCCAAAACTGTGTCCTGTCTTGTTGAATGTTCTCTTATTCTGTTGCAGGATGTAGTATTCTATAGACGTCAATTTTATCTCATTGTTTTAAGGTGCTGTGGTGTCCAACTTTGTCCTTCCTGATTTTCTGTGTGCTACATCAGTCCATTACTGATAGAGCGGTGTTGAAGTCTCTGACTGTGGTAGTAGATTTGTCTACTTCTCCTTGAAGTTCTGTCACAGTTTGCTTATTCTGTTTTGGTGCTCCGTTATTAGGCATATACATATGAAGGATTGTTATGCCTTATTGAAAAATTGACATTTTTTTCATTGACTAATGCCCCTTTTATTCCCAATGAATTCTATTTTTCTAAAATATATCTTGACAAATTAAGCTTTCTTTTAATTAGTTATAGTATCTTTCTATATTCCTTTACTTTAAACTATGTGTATTTCCATATATAATAGAGTTACTTGTAGACACCATATAGTTGTATCTTGTCTGTTGATTCATTCTACCATCTGTCTTTTAATTGCTCTATTTAGACCATTGAAATTTAAATATTTGTTGATGAAATTGAATTATCTACCATATTTGTTACTTTTTTCTAGTCACTGCATTTGTTCTTTATTTTAATTTTTTCCTTCATTATTGTCCTGCCCTCTCTGTTTTTTTAAAGTGGTTTATGGAGGTATGATTTATATACTGCTGTGATGGTCGAGAACAGCTGAGACGACCACTGAGCATAGCGAGTGTGAGAAAGCATAGATAAGAACTTGATTCCAAGACCAGCTGCCTTTGTAAAAGTCAGAATATGTGGAGAGGCAGGAGATGTTGAAAACAGCAGCTCACCCTATGGCAGGAAGCCACTCTGGGACTCTTAAGGAAATGTCCCGCTAGGCAAAAGGAAGCCTTTGCTAGAGGTTCATGCTTAATGAGTTTGTATAATTGAAGGCTAGAAATAGCTTAGCCTAGATCAATAGCTTTGTTAAAAAGAATTTGTGACTGGAAAATGTAAATCTTTACTGTAATCTCTTAAGATCACATGCATGACATGTGTCTTTCTTTATGGTTTAATGATTTCTTGCTTTGGATTGCTATCAGAATGGAAACTTATAGCACCTCCTTTTGTATAGGAAAAATTTCTTAAAGTTAAACTTTATCTTTATTGATGACACTGTTTTTTTAAGAGAAATGAATGAGAGTGAGGAGTTCAGCTTGGGGCTCTTGGTCTAATCTTGAGTCCCCTGACCTGACTCTTTCATTTGTTAACTGTCGTTGTTCAGTCCTCCACAACACCCTTTATCCAATTCTGGTTGTCAGGGCCAACACCCAATAACATACAAAAACCGTAAATATTTTATATATAAAATTTGATAGATTTAGAAATAAATATGCATTCAGAAACCACAATTACCATCCATTCCATAAATACATCCAAGAACACCAACATTTTCTTCTGCACTCTTATTTTTTATTGTCTTGTGACAAGATCCATCCTCTCAGCAACTTTTTATGTATAAAATACAATATTACTTACTATGGAAAATATGCTGTACAGTAGATCTCTAGTATTTATTCATATTGCACAAATGAAAATGTATATTACTTGCTTGTATGTATGCCACTTGATTTTATTTTTATAGCTGTATGGAGGTGTTGTTCAGAAATAAATATTATATATTTGAGACATACAACTTCATCTCTTTTTTTATTATTTCAGCATATTATGTGGGTACAAATGTTTAGGTTATGTGTGTTGCCTTTACCCCCTTTATCCCCCTGGAGTAAAAGCTTTAAGCATGTCCATCCCCCAGATGCTGCACATCGCACTCATTATGTATGTATATACCTATCCCCTCAACTCTTCTCCAAACTGCCTGATACCCGATAAATGTTATTCCTATATGTCCACTTAGGTGTTGATCTCTTAATACTGATTTGCAGGTGAGTACATGTAGTGTTCTTTTTCCATTCTTGGGATGGGTTCCATTCTTAGTAGCATGGGTTGAGCTCTATCCAGAAAAATACAAGAGGTGCTATATCACCATTGATTCTTATATGAGAATAGTACTCCATGGTATACATATACCATATTTTATTAATCCGCTCCATGTATTGATGGGCACTTCAGTTGTTTCTACATCTTTGCAATTTTGAATTGTGCTGCTATAAAAATTCGAGTGCAGGTGTCTTTTTGATAGAGTGTCTATGGTTCTTTTGGGTAGATGCCCAGTAAGGGATTGCTGGATCACATGGTAGGTCTACTTGCATTGCTTTAAGGTATCTCCATATTGCTACCACAGAAGGTGAACTAGTTTACAGTCCCACCAGCACTGTAGAAGTGTTTCTATACCTCTGAATCCATGCCAACATTTATTGTTTGGGGACTTTTTGATAAAGGCCATTCTCACCGGAGATAAGTGACATCTCATTGTGGTATTGATTTACACTTCCCTAATGATTAGAAGTGTTGAGCATTTTTTCATATGTCTGTTGTGCATTATTCTGTCTTTTTTTGGAAAGTTTCTGTTCATGTCGTTTGCCCACTTTTTGATAGGGTTGTTTGATTTTTTTCCTGCTGATATTTGTGGTTCTAAATAGATTCTACTTATCAGCCCTTTATCGAATGTGTAGCATTTAGAAATATTCTCCCATTCTGTGGGTTGTCTATTTGTTCTCTTGACAGTTTGTTTGGCTGTGCAGAAGCTTTTTAAGTTGATCAACTCCCATTTATTTATTTTTCTTGCTGCTGTCATTGCCTTTGGTGTCTTTTTCATAAATTCATTGCCTAGGCCAATGTCTAGAAGAGTATTTCCAACATTTTCCTCTAGAATTCTAACAATTTCATCCCTTAGGTTTAAGTCTGTACCCAGCATGAGCTGATTTTTATGAGAGGTGAAAAGTGTGGATCCTGTTTCAGTCTTCTACATGTCTCTATCCTGTTTTCCCAGCACCATTTATTTAATAAGGATTCTTTTCCCCAGTGTATGTTTTTGTCTGCTTTGTCAAATCTTAGATGGCTATATGATGATGGTTTTATATCTGAGTTTTCTGTTCTATTCCACTGGTCAATGTCCCTCTTCTTGTGCCAGTTTGAAGCTGTTTTAATTACTATAGCCTTATAGTATAGTATGAAGTATGGTTAATTGATACCTCCCATTTTGTTTGTATTGCATAGGATTGCTTTTGCTATTCAGAGTCTTCTCTGGTTTCATACTAATCATAAAATTATTTTACCTATACCTGTGAAAAATGATGATGCTTTCCTAATACGGATTGCATTGACTCTGTAGGTCATTTTTGTTAAAATAGACATTTTAACAATGTTGATTCTGCTGACCCACAGGCATGATATGGGCTTCCACAAGTTTATGTCCTTTGCTATTTCTTTCTACAGTGTTTCATAGTTCTCCCTGTAGAGATCTTTTACCTCCTTACTTAAATATATTCCTAGGTACTTTGTTTCCTTTGTTGCTGTTTTGAAGGGAATTGAGTCTGTGATTTGGTTCTCACTTTGACTGTTATTGGCATATAGGAATGCCTCTGATTTGTGTGTATTGATTTTGTATCCTGAGACTTTACTGAATTCATTTACCAATTCCAGGAGTCACTTGGTTGAATATTTGGGGTTTTCAGGATGTAATATCATATCATCAGCAAAGAGTGAGAGCTTCCTCTCTTCTGCCCCCATATGGACGCCCTGCTTCTTGTCTGATTGCTATAGCAAGGACTACTAACACTACGTTGAATAGAAGTGGACATAGTGTACAACCTTGTCTTGTTCCAGTTCTAAGTGGGAATGCTTTCTATTTTTCCCTGTTGAGTATGATGTTGGCTGTGGGATTGTCATACATGGCTTGCATCATTTGTAGGAAAGCCCCATCTATGCTTATTCTGTTAAGTGTTCTTATCATAAAAAGGTGTTGAATTTTATCAAATGCTATCTGCATGTGTTGAGAAAATCATATGGTTTTTGTTTTTACTTCTGCTTTTGTGGTGAATTACATTTGTAGATTTGTGTATGTTAAAACATCCCTGCATCTCTGGGATGAAGCCCACCCTCGCCCACTCGCGTCGCTCCAGGGAGCAGGAAACCCAATGCAGGGTGGGGCACAGCCCTGGCAAGGCCGAGAGATGCGCACTATTGGGCTTCTTTGGCTTATCTTGTTAGGAAAGGCTCTAGATATATAGCCACATGCTAGTGGCTGTTTGGGATTGTCTCAGGATAACTTTTACATTGGTCTAATATAGCTATTTACCAGAAATGAACCAAGTTAAGTTTTCCTTATATTCATAATTGAAGCAAGATGGAAGCAACTCCAGGCCTAGCTAACATTGCTCCTGCCTTCTGCCCCCCACGGCAGTGCCCTGTGTCCTCTGGAGGACGAGGCCCTGTGGCAGAGGTGGCGTTGTCCTTACTCTTTCAAAGCTGTTTGTCATCTAGTGTTGACCCTCACAGCCAGAGGTCACTGAGTGCACGTGTGAAGACCACCGGGAACCACCTGCCCCGGTGGGGACACACTGAGAACTGGGAGGGGCATCTACTCGTGTTTGCATCAGGGGGAGCTGGAGACTCCCAACCCACCAGGCTGGTGATCAGGACAAGGAGCTCACAGGGGAGTTTGCAGCCCAGCTGTTCCTCACCTGCTGTTTTCCAGGAATTAGGAGTTCAGTTTCCCCTGTGGGCTCCCCTTTCCAGCAATCCCAAGGTGAGGGCCGTCCTGACTCCACAGGTGACACGACAATCGTGGGCCTTGGGGGAGAGGAGCTGGTGGCACCCCTTCCTCATAAGCATGTCTCGGGCCGTCTCAGGCACAGACTCCCGCGGCAGACTCAGCTGGGTGAGTGCGTGTCTCTCTGCTCAGCAGCGGTGAGAGCTCAAGACCTGGGGGAGGAGGGAGGGGAGGAGGCAGGATTGTCTCAGCGAAGAGCTGGGAGAGTCTCTCCTCGTGATTTCAGTCACATCTCTATGAGTTGTGAGTAAATCTAGTAGACTTTTACAATGAAAGATCAGTTTTATAGATCTTGTGAGGCCATTAATTTATAGAATTTTTCAAGAACTTTCATAATTTTGTGATGTATTTGAACTGGAATTGTGTTTGAGTTTCTTATTTACTAATATTTACCAATTGAACTTGCTGCATTAATTACATGAAAATTTACCTTTTATAATGCAGGAAATCTGAACAAATTCAAAATGACTTAGTTATATGTCTTTGTCATTTTATGTTTGAAGACATCAAGTATTTTTATAATATTTGATAGCTTCTTAAAATTATAATATCATAAAATTAGATGTTCTCACCATTTTATATTATTTATATTTATAAGCTTACCATAAAGATTTTATTTTGTTTTATTCAGCTATAATGAAATTTTCAGAAGGTTACCATAAAAATCTCTAGAAATACCACTTTCTGCTATTTATCAAATGTTTGTAGTGCTAATGAATATCTTACATGAAGTGATCTGGTAACTTTAAGCATGCTTTTAAATACTTCAATAAAATAAACTCAGTGTCAGTATTTTATGTCTTCTAAGTAAATTAAATTTATATAACATTCTTGTACATGTGTTTAGATAAGATTATATAGTAATGAGAGAATAATCATTTTCAATTTGAAAGGCATAGCATACAATTATTAAAAATATCCTGTAAATTTTGTATTTCTGCTGTTCCCTCTGAGAGTTTCCAATTGTACTTTACTAAAATGTATTTTTACATGTTAATTTTGTCATTTACATTCATAGGTAATTTGTTTCAGTTTAGTAAAGATATTAATATTATATTTTAGCACAGGGGTCCTCAAACTTTTTAAACAGGGGGCCAGTTCAATGTGCCTCAGACCTTTGGAGGGCTGGACTGTAGTTTTACAAAAACTATGAACAATTTCCTGTGCACACTGCACACACCTTATTTTGGGTTGTCAGCTGCATTTCTCATGTTGCCAACCACTGCCACGAAACTGGCAGACTACCTTACCTTGTCACCTGCTGTTTTCAGAGTCACTTTGGCTGGGCATGTCTGGTCAAAGGATTGATAGTGCATTCACAGAATATGATAGAATTGTTGGAGAAAAGGGCACTTCAAATTAACATAACAAAGACAGGATTTTCATTATATTCATTATATTCTAAAATCTGCACAAAGCAAAATGCAAAGATTTCTCTTCAAATAAAATCATGCATTAAATAATACAACTCTAAATTACTTATTATTAAAAAGATAAAGACACAGGATTTTACCAAGCTTCAGTTTCTTCAGAGGAACACGTTCGTAGGCAAAATAGCACTTAGGTTCTTGTAAAAGTCTTCATTTCAGTGCAGTCTTTGTCTTTAACTCATCTGTGTCACCTAATCCAGACTTTATGATCAGTCAGTCTCTTTGTCCTGTTCACTTGAATGCCATTATTTTCTCCTCCCTTACCTCCGATGTGTCATTGTGTCCATACCTTGGGCTGTGACAGTGAGGACAGTGTAAGGTAAGAGCCAGTGCAATGAGGCTGCACTTTCTCTGCACGATCTGGTCACTGGCTTCACCCACGGCCCCCACAGATCTCTGGCTGTGAATTCTCACGGTGAGTGCTGAGATTAAATTCAAATTACTAATTATTAATGTATCAGTGAGGGCCCACTTCTCTTTGGCACTCTGCCCCATCTGTAGGTGACCTCTGTGGATTAGCTTCTCTTCTCTTGCTCCCACGATGCCACCATACCATTGTCACTCCCAGGATTCCTCCATGGTGGAGATTTCAGATAAATCAAGTAGAAATGCAGGACACAGGGCTAAGATTATAATTTGAATCAACAACAAATGCCTCTTCTTGGAGAAGATGTTCCTTAGTACCAAATGTCATTTGTTTTATTCTGGCAGTCGAGACAACTTCTGAAAAGTTTTAGTACAGATAATTATACCTCACCTATCAACACAAATGCCTGGCAGAGAGTAAGGCATCACTTCACAGCCCAGAAGATCTGCTCTTTTCTAGTATGTGGTGGCCATTTACAGGGTGAGCGGCATAGACTGTGGGGAGAGAGCCAGATACCCCATGGTGTAAAAGAAGAAAATATTAAAATTATTCTCTATCACATTGTATAAAATTATTTCTCTTTTTGTTTATCCCTTATAAAACATGTCATCTATGAATAACATTTCTCCGATATACAGTTAACACATAAATCTTTATATACTAGTAGTCCACGCACAAATACTATTTTACATCCACGGGGCAGTGACGCTGAATTTGCAGGTGTATGTTGGTGGTGACTATCGTTTATTCAGTTGGTTCTGGAGGTTAAGACACATGTGCCATTTTGCTAGTTTCAGCTTTGGGAGAAAGGGTAGCAACTATTAAATCAAGTGAGCAATTTCTCCTTTATAAACTCCTAAATATCATGAGTCTTGGATCAGTGTTCTGCTTCAGTTACGGACTTCGAGTCTGAGCCAAGAAAACAAACCATTAGTGTTTCTGCCTTGTCATACACATTCACAGTTCTGGGCTGCTATGATTAGAAGTGTCCTTGGAAACATGATGGAACAGTCTTCCATCCCTGAGGAATCTGACTGATGGTAGTTGTTTTCCACTTTTTCCTCTCATACACTTGAAGTCTTCTAGGCTGTGTATTCAGCTAATTTTATAAAGTAATGATGCCTGAAACCAGGACAAATATCATGAGACAATACTTGCAAAATTACCTAGTGAAATTTTATGAAGTGTTATGATTTTGGTGATATCCTGATAAAAACTTGAAGGGAAGTATCTAATATTGAAAACCTAAATACTTTTTCTGGCATGGGAGGCTGCCTGTACAAAAAGTAAGGTTTCAATGAAAGGATGACTATGTGATTATTCTCACCTGTAATTTCAGAATATTATGGGAGCACAAACACTTTGGTTACATATTATGTGACTATTCTGATGCACATCTACGGATGTCATATAATGGATAACTGCAGTTCTTGTTCTGATAATTGAGTGCTGAATTTTAGCAATCCACTCCTAAGATGAAGTGAGTCTGCATGTGATATCTCTGCATTGGAAACTGAATGGAGAGAGGGACATCTTGAGGAAATACCATTAAAAGGACTTGTGGTAAGTGAACTAATGTCTCCCCTCAACAATACATCCTAAGTCTCCAGTCTTTGGGAATATGTTAGATCTTATGGAAAAGAGAAATGAGATTGCAAATAAAATCCACCTTGGTAATGATCTTCTTATATAAAAGAAGAAGATCTCCTGAATTATCATGGGGGAGGGGACAAGCATAGATTTCCATAAAAATGAAAGAGAGATGAAAATAGAAGTTGTGAAGGTGATGTGCTATAAGATGCAAATGGAATTTTTGCCAAATTTATTGTTTGAGTCTTTTCTCATCAGCATAAAATTTCATTCAGTTAAGCTTTATAAATAATATTGAGTAATCTTATATTCCCATCAGTCTTCAGGGTCTAAATGTTAAATGAAAGAATACGGAAGAATAAAGAAATATTTTCTATACAGGGACCCAAATCGGATAGAAGGACACATAATTGGCACTATATTGGGGCAAAATTGGACATGTTGGTAGCATATGTATATAATATGTACATGACATATAAATTATATATACATACACACATGTGTGTGTTATTTTGTAGGGAAAATATTGCTAAGGCTATATTATCAATAATTTATATGTGATAATAAGGTCTATTAAAAATTCAGGGTTAATAAAACCCCTAAAAATTTTTCATGACATAGAAACTTAAAATAATAAGAATAATTAGGTGAAGTAAAAATAATAGTAATGGGTAATTATACTACTGAACAAAAAGAAAGTGATGATATATGTTACTTTTTTCCAGATATGAAAAATATTTTCATGGTGACATTAAAACAATCACTTTTCACTTATGTTAGCATTAAATAATGCGTTTTTTTTGCAAGCTGGCATTGGTCTCACAGCCAATACCTTCCTCCTCCTCTTCCGCATCCTCACGTTCTTTCTGGATCACAGGCCGAAGCCCCATGACCTGGTCACCGGTAACTTGGCCCTCGTCCACATACTGGTGCTGTTCACGACGGTGTTTTTTTCTCCAGGCCCGTTTGAGTCACTGCGTTTTCAGAATGACGTCAGGTGTAAGGCTCTGTTCTATGTGACCAGGGTGATGCGGGGCCTCTCCATCTGCACCACCTGCCTCCTGAGCATGCTCCAGGCCGTCACTATTAGCCCCAGCTCCTCTTGGTTGGGACGGTTCAAACAGAAATCCAGACACTACGTCATCCATTCCTTACTCTTTTTGTGGTTTCTCTGTTTGTCCTTCAGTAGTAACCTGCTATTGTTTACCGTGGCTGCTTCTAATGTGACCCAGACCCAAGTGCTGAGCTTTGGTAAATACTGCTCACTTTCCTCTGCAAGGTACCTCAGGTGGAGCCTGTTTTTCATGATGATACAAGTGAGAGACGTGTCCTTTGTAGGCGGCATGCTGCTCTCGAGTGTGTACATGGTGACTCTCTTGTTCAGGCATCAGAGGCGATCCCAGCACCTGCACAACATGTCCCTCTCCCCGAGCATCTCCCCGGAGAAAAGGGCCACCCAGATCATCCTGCTCCTGGTCAGTTTCTTTGTGGTCATGTACTGGGTGGACCTGGTCATCTCCTTCTGCACGATTGTGTTGCTGGCTTATGGTCCCATCATGCTGGGTGTCCAGAGGCTGGTGGTCAATGCCTATCCCACAGTGAGTCCTTTGGTGATAATCATTTTTGATAAAAGGATAATCAGTACTCTGCAAAATATGCAACAGAAATGTCATAGATTTTTAACAAAATAACAAATTAATTCTCTGAGAAATGGGTGTTTCTGACATCAATTAACCTATTAAAGTAACAGAGAATTTGTTATTTGAGTTACTTAACACGTGTAAAATTGCACTTGTATAGCTAAATCCTTTGAAACTGATGCCGGCGAAGACTTTGTGGTTTCTTTAGTGTAGTTTCTACCATGACTTTGTGTTCTATGTTTTAGAAGTGTGTTGATTTTCCTTTTGATTCTCTGTTCTTCATATAAGAAAACTTTCTTTTTGAGGTGTATACTTAAGAAACTTTTATTGGCTACAAAATCTATCCATGTTTTACTTTATATGTCTTTTTTCTCTACTTCTGAAAATATTTTTGAGTGCCCTTATCTCATAAACATATTCTCCCTAAGCATCCAGTTACAGGTTGAACAATGATTTCTTTCAGCACTTTTTGTTTAGTTCTGTTTTCTGTCTCTACACAAGCTGTGCAGATTTTGCTTTCGCCCTTCTTGCTTCTCTCTGTCCTGTCTCACAGATTTTTATTCTTTATTCTCTTTGGTGTTATGCAGTTTGACTGTTACTGGAGTATTTATCTCTTCTTGTAACAGGGCTATTATAGTTTTATGGATATATGTCTGGGTTTCAATTTTAGAAGTTAGTAAATCATTTATTTTATTGTTGTAATCATTGTTTTTTGTACTTTAGTGGCACAATTAAATTATTTTCTCTTCTCATTCTATTTTTATAGATGTATAATTAAATTCACATTTTCATTAGTTTTATTAGATTATTTTCATCCCTTATTATTCTACTCACATAATCCTCGTCTGAGCATTTCTAATTTAATTTTACCCAAATATTGTACTTTTAATTATTATTTTCGTTGTTTAAGTTCTACCTCACTTGTTACCAATATGCTATTCTCTTTACAATTCTTAATTTTTAAATATCATTTTGTTTTTCTATTTTTTCTTATTGACTTTACTGAAACAGTTTTTTGTTTTGTTTTGTTTTTTGTTTTTTCTGAGCACAGAGTCTCACTGTTTGCCTGGGCTAAAGTGCCATAGGCGTCAGCCTAGCTCACAGCAACCTCCAACTCCTGGGCTCAAGCGATCCTTCTGCCTCAGCCTCCCGAGTAGCTGGAACTACAGGCATGGGCCACTGTGCTCAGCTAAATATATATTATTATATATATATATATATATAATATATATATATCTTCGTTGTCCAGCTAATTTCTATTTTTTTATATTTAGTAAGGATTCACTCTTGCCAGACTGGTTTTCAACTCCTGAGCTCCAACAATCCTCGTGTGCTGGCCTCCCCAGAGTGTTAGGATTACCGACGCATGAGCCACCACTCCCTGCCTTTGTGATGTTTTTAAAAGATAAAACGTGAGCATCTCAACAAAGAACTTGGTTCATTGGAAAGTAAATATTATACTTGATGCCTTTTCATTCTTTCTCTCTATAAGGCGTTAATTGTGGCTACATCTTTGAGAAAAGTAAATGAGCTAGAAATTGGTCATCTGAAGTTGATCTCCCTCACTCCTTTGGGTAGTTCACCCTAATTATTCAGTACTCCTCTCTACATCGTGAAACATGCTTAGACTAGGTTCCCATGATGCCAGTCGCCGAACCTTAGAGGTAATTGATCAACGGCTTAAATTACTGATTCCTTGTTAAAAAGCGTATTGTACACGTGTCCCTTATTATTGGAGAACGCAGTACTGAGAGGCATCATTGGACTTGGAGTCTTATGTACACCGATCCTGGATGAGCAGCCACAGCGGCGATACAGCACTCTAAGGCTCACAGGTGGTGAGAACAGCACAGTGTGAAACTGTAATAACACACCCTTGACTGTAATAATACGTTACAACTTATTGTGCTTTAGCTTTAATGGGAAAAAACAACATAAAAACAAACTCATAAAAAAAGTTTAGACAGGAGATCTGAGAAATTTCAAAGAAGAATATTAAAGGTTGACACTCACCTACTGTGGCCTCAACACTAGGTAGGTAGGAATGTCACACCTGTTTGGATCTTCTGACGGAATCAGTAATGCCCTTTCATTTCAATATGAATCCACCATCCTGCTTAGCAGTGACTGCTGCTTTCCCTGGACGCCTTCACACGTTCCCTCATCCCACTCACTCTTCCTAACTGTTCCCACAGTTGAGCAACTGGAGCCTGATACGTGGCCAGTGAAGGGTGGAGTCCGGCCTCTCTCCACGTGCTCGACCGTTTCCACTTTTGTTTCCGTCACACTCACCTTCCCTTCGCCGCCGGCTCTCCCGGACGCACCGCGCACTTCCGCCTGGGAGGCCTGGCTGTGAGGGCGGGCTCACAGAGCCGGAAGGACGTCATCACGGACGTGACCCCGTGCGTGACCCCGCCCCACCGAGCCCAGGCGCCAGCCCGGAGCCGAGAGGGCCCAGAGCCCCACTGGCCGGTGCCGCGCCCGCTGGGCGTGCGGACGTGCGGTGTCCGCGGGTGGGAACCGCTGACGCGGCTCCCGGCGGCGCGGCGGCTGGTCCCCCTCCGGAGGCCGCGGCAGGAGCAGGGCTGGCTCTGCGGCCGAGACCGCGGGCCTGTGTGAGGCCGCCGCATCCTCCCGGGTGACAGGGTGACTCCGTCATGAAAGAGCAGAACAAGGACACGCACCCCACAGCAACTGCGGGAAGTGGCTCTGCGTGTTTCCACGGCGAAGACTAGCTTGCATTTCTATTGTTTTACTTAGAACCCGTTAGGGATTATTTATTGATAGTGTACGGTGTGCCTATGATTCCGTCAGCAAACTGGAGCATGTGAGTAGATTCCGTCAGTGTCACTAGTCCTTTCGTTTGTTTCTGATTTAAGGCTAATTTAAAGTCTATTTGAAATGACTGACGTAACTTCAGTAAAATTTCAATAAGAGGAGGTGAATGTTCATTTTTAGGGGGAACTGATACCTGGCTAAATATTTGTACCCTTGTGATGGTTTCTAAGTCAGTTATTTTATGTGAAAATCGATTTAAAATTTCCCTTTAGTCCTTGGAATAATAAAGAAGATTAGGTGCAGTGGTGCTATACCAATATTTAGAATTCTTAAAAATTTAACTCATAGCAATTCTGTCATTTAAAAATACTATTCTATACCCTGGAAAGAAGCAATTCACTTATCTTAACCTTAATTAGCAGGGTGGATAGACAGTAAAACACTCTTTGAAGATTATATTTTCATGAGGTAGACAAAGAATACAAAAACAAAGTCCCTTAATTTTCTCTCCACTTTTACAAATCTTACTGGAGAAGTGTTCAGAAATTAAAATTTGTGTTTGTTAAGACTTCAGGACCAGACATGGCGGCTGTCACCTGTAATCCTAGCACTCTGGGAGGCCGAGGCAGAAGGACTGCTCGAAGTCACGAGTTCGAGAGGAGACAGAGCAAGAAGGTGACCACGTCTCTACTAAAATTAGTAATAAATTAGCTGGAAAACTAAAACAATACACAACTAATTAACGGGGCATGGTGGCACATACCTGTAGACCCAGCTACTCTGAGGCTGAGGCAGGAAGATCACTTGAGCCCAGGAGTTGGAGGTTGCTGTGAGCTAGGCTGATGCCACGGCACTCTAGCCCGGGAAATACACTGAGCCTTTGCCTCAAAAAAAAAAGTGGAAAAAAGCCTTCATGCTGTTGTGGGTTTTAAGAAGTCATATAGGTGATGTAAAATGTATGGAAACCATGGCAGTGGACATTTCTTCATGTCTCACTAAGCTATCTGACTTAACTTGCAGAACGTAGTTGGATATTATATTCAAAGTAATAATAATCACACCTCGGATATCCTTTGTCAAATTTTATTCGGGCAGTACTTTTTTTAAAATATTATAATTTCTCACGATAGTTTACTAAAGCTGTTGACTATGGAAAACAACAACAAAAATGCCTTTTTCTGGTGTTATTATTTAATTTTATTTTCTGTATTTTAGCTTAGAAAATGGCCTTCTATAAATAGATCATTAACAGGGACACTTAACTAATTGGGCTACTTAAACTGCTATGGAGGGGGAAAATGTGATTTGTTTTCCCAAATTGCTGGTTAAGATGTACTATAGCCAACAAACATGAAAAAATGCTCAACCTCCTCTAATCATGCAGGGAGAATGCAAATCAAAACCACAATGACATATCACTTAACTCCAGTGAGAATGGCCTTTATCAAAAAGTCTTCAAACAATAAATGCTGGCGTGGATGCGAGAGAGAGGAACACTCTACACTGCTGGTGGGATGCAAACTAGTTCAACCTCTGGGAAAGCAATTGGAGATACCTTAAAACGATACAAGTGGATCTACCATTTGATCCAGCAATCCCATCTGCTGGGCATCTACCCAAAAGATCCAATGACACTCTACAAAAAAGGCACCTGCACTCGAAATGTTTATAGCAGCAAATTCATAATTGCAAGGCTGTGGAAACAGCCCAAGTGCCCATCAATCCAAGAATGGATTAATAAAATGTGGTACATGTATACCATGGAGTAATATTCAGCTGTAAGGAACAACAGTGATATAGCACATCTTATATTTTCCTGGTTAGAGCTGGAACCCATACTACTAGGTGAAGTATCCAAGAATGGAAAAACAAGCACCACATATACTCATCAGCAAACTGCTATTAACTGAGCAGCACATAAGTGGACACATAGGAGCTACAGTAATAGGGTATTGGGCAGGGGGAGGAGGGCGGTTATACATACATAATGAGTGAGATGTGAACCATCTGGGGGATGGTCATGCTGGAAACTCAGACTTGTGGAGGAAAGGACATTTATTGAAACCTTAAAATTTGTACCCCCATAATATGTCGAAATAAAACAAAAAAAGGTTTAAAAAAATGTGCTTTGTGAAGCCTCACTCTGGCTGGAGATATTTTGTACAAATCATGCAGAGCCTGCCTGATCCACCAACCTTGCTCAGAGAATTACAACCAAGAATGTGGGCAAAGTCAGAGCAGTGAAAGTGGATACATTCTTTTTTACCTTGAGAGCTTAATCCAAATTGGTATTTTATCAGTGGATTTCCAAGATTTCAGTACAGAGAAAGAAAGTAAATGGAAACTAAATCAGTTTTTTACATCAGGAAAAATCCACAGCACATATAAGCAAAACAGGTGACATCATTTGCATAAGAGTACACCATCGAAATACACTGTTGTTTGATTTTATGTTTTCACATAAAACAACCGATAAATGCTAAGGTTAAATTTTGTATTAATTTCTAGCTTTTTGATTGAGATACATGATATTTGATAGTGTGATTTGTCAGGGGAGGGACTATGATGTGATGGTTCTGTATGTACCTTTTAATCTTCACGTAGCTGGGTCTAAATAAAATGTTTTAAAGGTTATCGGAAATGCATTATAATTTAAAACATATACACTTAGGATTGGTTAAAATACAGCTATAATAGGCAAAAATTAGTCACCATTATAGAAAGCATCCTGATGGAGTCTGTTGGGCACCTGTGATTGACAAGGTGCAGACGAGAGTGCACAGTGATGGCTGACGGCTACGTACCTGTCCTCGTGAGTGTTGAGTGGCTGTTCTATATATTGTGTATGAGAAATTTTCTAGAAACTATCTCTACTAACAGTAAGGATTCTAAATTAAGTGTCATTTCTAGGTCACATGGCTTCTGCTTTGGAAACTTTACCTTTAGAAATTCACTTAAGCCATGAGGCCTGAGAAAAGGGAAAAAAGGAAATATGTAATATATGGGTCTTGTGGCCTCTGACCATCAGTACAGGTGTTTTCCTCTCTTTGATGACAGAGTGATAATTCCTGTTTCCTGCATTAGTCCTTTAAAGCATGCAAAGACAAGAAAGAAAAAACTTCTATTTGCAAACTGAAAATACAGTAAGCCTTAATATTTTCCTATGTCAGTAACATTACTGGTGTTCTTCATTTTCCCCACGGACTTTCTGTTACTATCTAGAGTCCTTTCCTTTCAGGCTCAGGAACATCATTTAGCATTTCCTGTAGGACAG